TTACCTACAATGTGCCTGGTTCTGTGTTAAACACCAGGAATACAACATGCATAAATTCTATTCACCATCCTTTTCCTTGTGCCCTATTAGGGAAGGTTGACTGTTTGACTAATAATTACAGCAAAATGTTGTGTGCTGTAAAAGTAGTATTTTATTTAAAAATTGAGGAGGCATTGATCTAGGTTGTTGGGCTTACTTGTGTTTAAAGACCCAAAGCCTTTGCCTTCTAAAACTATAGTCTCAAGGGAGATTCAGATGATACATGAATTACATGCAACATGCCAGGTAAGGAAAGGTCCGAAAGGGCTTCACATAGAAAGTGACAACCAAACTGTCCGGAAGAATGGTGAAGGGTTTATCAGATAGTTTGGTACAGAAATGAAGAAGTGAGAAGCATAGGGAAAGGAATATAAAAAACACAGAGGAAAGAATTAATTGTAGCTCACGGAGCTGATCATTCTAGTTGTATTTTTAAAATACCAAACCCAGCTTCCAACAGTCTTGGAGAATTATGCTGAAACAGCTAAGACCTGCGCTGCTTCAAGTAGCACTTAAAGAAAATGTGAATGTCATGGCAGCAGATTACACAGCTGTGACCCAGGACACCCACAGGGAGAAAAATCAGGGAAAAGCTGTCATCCTTACGAGTATCACTTCTCTGACCATAACTACTTAGAACATTTTGAATTCTCTTTTGAACAGGCAGCCACACTTTCTTGCTCAGGCTGTTTCTCAGAGAGAGGTCATTAGATTCTTCCATCTCCATAACAAAAAATCAAAAGCAGCCATTTTAAAAGTAATTGCATGGTTCCAGCCATATGTCTCCCTCCGCCCCTTTATTGAGTATCATTCACTTAGGACTGACCTACTTCCCCTCCTAAATTGGAGGTTTGCATATGTAATTATATCAAATGATGAGTTTGTTTATATCTCCAAACCACATTCAAAATCTTGCCTATGATTTATCTTTAAAATTCAATTTCATCATTTCAGTCCCCAATTTACGGTGCCCAGTGGGTCTACAGTTACATGTGTAATGCACACACCTCTCTCTTGTATAGATTACAGAATGGGGTTGCCTTTGCCAGTGATGAGTCAGTGTGGTTGAGGAGGGAGGTTGCTCTCTCTGTTTTGCCTTGTTCTCTATTCTGAGGCCCAAATGCATTCAGCTACAACAAAGTCACTATAAATGAAGAGGCAGCACTGGTCATTTTAACTAATTCCTCGGGACCAGGAAGGATGGCTTACTGTATTCTTTTCTGACTGTAAAAAATGGCAATGCTGCTGAGGTGCCATAGTTCATCCTAAGAAGGTACTTTCAGCAGGAGAAAAGCTTTTATGCCTTCTTGGTTTAGCTGACCCTGGCATGATAACAAGATTTATTTTTTCAAGATTCTGATAACAAGATGTATTTATTTATTTTCAACTACAAGTAACTACCAGTTGTTGCTTTAACCCTAAAACCTCAATGTTTCCATGTTCCAGATTCCCATGAACAAGCCCAATCAACTCCATTCATTTCAGCCCTTCTTCATGCCTGAGGCCTAAACTAAGTAACCCATTCATTCATTCATTCATTCATTTAAGTATTCTTAACAGCCTGCCTTTTCCAAATATGAAAGACATGTTAAAACCTTAAAGTCAGGGTTTATGATTTTCTACTGATTTTTAAACAGCTTTATTAGCATATAATTTACATGCAGTAACCTTCACCAAGTTAAAGGACACAATTTAATGGTTTTCAAAATATTTACACAATTGTGCAACCATTACCATAGTCTGTAATTTTAGAACATTTTCTTCATCTCTCCAAAAAGAAACCTTCCACCCATTAGCAAACTGACCCTCCCTATCCCTATACCACCTCATCTGATTTCCTACTGACTTCTACTTTTAACTTACATTTTATTTCTTGCCATCTGTGAAAATAAAGGTGGTAGAAGCCAAGAGAACTGTAACCTGCAGAGCTTTCCTGTGTCTTTTTACTCCAGGAACAGAAACAGCTTGTCTTCCTCACAGCTCCAAGTTCACTGTTGTGTATGTCGTTTCAGACTTTTTAGGAAGCTGATCTCTCTCTTGGCTGATCCATATGTGAGACACACATCTAGGTGAAGGTATGCAGGTGAAGGGGACCCTTCAGCTCTCCCAGTTACATGTGGGCTTTGTGAAAATAAGTGATGTCCTAAAGAATGGCCCTAAGAATCGTCAGGAGAGGAAGCCGACCTCTTCCCCATGCACAGCCACACAACAATGGGCTATGTCCATGTGACCCTGGGCAAGGAGCACTTGCGATGATAGAGAGTCCCCAGAGGAACAGAGGGCAAAGGTGTCCTGGTCTTTTGTGGCTGAAAGAGCAGCAGGGTGGAGCCAATAGCCCTTTCACTCATTTATAGCCTCAATATAACAAGCTTTTTCTCATTCCCATTGTGGACTCTAATAGAGGAGCTCCCACACAGGAGAGGGGAGGCTACGTGAAAGATTCCCCCACCTTGTGAGAAGAGAGTTGCTCCCCACTTTGAAAGAGCGTCTGTGATATATGACCTTGTCCAATAGAATGGCCCGAAAATGAAATGAAAGTGTCAGATGTGAGTGTTAAACATCCACTGGGGTGACCACACAGACCCCTGTCAATGTGAATCAGAGAGCTGTGCCACCCTTTATTCCTCTCCTCACCTCCCCTCAGCAGGCGCTCACACAATAGCTCCATCACCCCACCCCACACCCACACACACGGAGCCTGATGTTCTGATCTAGACGCTAGAGCAGTTCAGTCTGTTTCATTCTTGAGCATGTCTGGTCAGAAGAAGTAAGGTCAATGTAAAGTCAGAGTGAGATTCAACAAAAGATGGTGGAATTGATAGCACCTTTCTCTTAGAATCAGAGGATCATCACAGCCCTCATCCCAAGAGATTCTGATAGTGTAAATGAGGGATGGAACAGGGAGACAAAATCTGTGCTTTTGACATTTCCCCAGTGATTCTGATGGCCAGCTAAGGAAGGAAAGTTACTGATCCTCCTTGACCTTTCTGGTGGCAGTCTTCCCTCCTTGACCTCTGACAGTTGCTCTTTACACCCAAGAGTACCTAGCATTACTTATTCACACAGAAGAACTCTACAAACTTTGTGAGTGCACATGTCACACAAGCCTTTCCCACCCACAAATACATCCTTCACACACAAAACAAAACCCTCCTAAACAAACACATTCCCAGTCTGTAGCAAAACTGAAGAATAAAGTATAGTAGATCTCTTCCAGAGCAACTTTTCATTAACTAAGCATTAATGAGTTCCTATTCTTTGTTCTAGGTGAGGAACTAGGTAGGCATCAGAGTTTCCGAATCAAAAGACAGTCCCTTCCCGTGAAGTAACTCTGTCAGTTTGTCTACTGGGAAAATACAGACATGTGAACAAAGGATCCTAGTACAAGGCAGAGATCAATAATGGAGCACGCTGGTTACATGGGGGTAGAGCAGATGGCCACCTAACCCTGTTAAACAGGGTCGGCAAAGGCTAACATCTGAGCTGAACTTAAAAAAATTCCTAGCTCAGCATAGTAACATACAGCTTGGGTGAATACGGTTAATAATAGTGTATTGTACATTTCAGAATTGCTAATAAATTTCAAATGTCCTCACCACAAAAAAATGATAAGTATTGTAGGCAATGGATATGTTAATTCACTTGATTTAATTATTTCACATGGTATGCTTGAATCATAACCTTATTTTGTACCCCATGTATTTATATATATACCTATAACTTGTCAACTTACAATAAAAAGATAAAGAAAAAAATATTTGGGGCACGTTCCAGAATGAATTCACGGAAAGACAGATGGTTTGTGTACTGGAAACACAGGTTTTCCTCCTGTGGCGAGTGTGGAGGTGGAAGGGAGCGGGGTCAGCTTGTAAACACCCATGCTACCCTGAGCGGGATATTATTTTGAAGGCCCTGGGAGTCATTTAATTTCCTGTGGTATCTTCTTAGCTTTCTCTAAAATCTGTGTACTCCCACTCACCACTTCTGTATGAGACAGAAACTTGAGGTCAAGAGCTCTTCCACAGCCCCAGGTGAAACACATTTCCACACTGTACCTACCTCACCAGCACTGGGAGTAGGATTTTCATAGGGTTTTTCTCTGTTCCTCCATTTTCGATCAGCATATACCAGGAAAACAGCCCACCCCATATTCTCTTTAGGGACATATGGAATCAAGAAATGGAAAATAAATTTGACCTCCTAATTGCCATTTGACAAAAGGAATAATAAAGCCTGCAAAAGACAAATTGGTGCAATAAGCCGAGAGGCCTTGAAGGTTTTGTCTTCTCATTTTCTTTACTTTGTCTTTATACTCAAAGGGGTGATTCGCTTATGAGAAACACCATTAGAAGAAAAGATAGGTATTTTTGATGTGGAACTTATTTCGTACAAAGATTCAAACACATAAAAGAAAATGATAAAATTACAGTATGAGATCTTTGCTATGTAAGTTATTAAATCTGAAATAATTGTGTGTACAAGTAGTGATTACAAAATAACCTTCTTTGTCAAGTATAACAAAAATTATAGAAGCATATAAAAGTTAAATAAGAAAGTTCTGTTTCATAGCCTAAATCTAATCAGCATAAACAACCTATTAATTGTTCAAGAACTCTAAAATCTTTAATGAGGTTTTTACGGTAGAATTTCAGTCACATGCAAATGAATCATTGGAACTCTTCATTACCAGCAAAACAGCGATTCTTTGGTGAATTTTTACATCCCCAGAGTGATTACAGTACCCCAACTGTGGTGGGCAGGCTGAAACCATTTTTTAGGTTTTCTTTGTAAATTTTACTTTTTTTAAAGAATATTTCTTGAGACCATTCTGATTGTCACAAGGGGTTGAGAAGTTACAGTCCATACCACTTTTGCTTCTCCTTTAAATGGACTCGTTTCCCACACTCAGTAAGCTGTTTGCCCCATATATTTAAAAGTTAAATGTTCTCATTTCTACACAGGTCTGATTACAACAACTTCAAGAAAATTGGATCGAGAGCAGCAGGCAGAACATTTTCTGGAGGTAAGCACATAGAGGGAACTGGAATTCATTAAAACTGACTTTCACTAAACTTCTTTAACCTTCAACATAAACTACAACTCCAGTATATTTAAACATTGGATGTCAAAGTGAAGATATTTCTTTTGGGAGGCTGTGTTCAGAATTTAGGGATTTCTAGTGTGTTCTTCTCAGCATGCCCGTGTGCTGAGCCAGGGTGGTAGAGCAGGCTTTGCCTTTTGCTGAAGACAATAGTATATCATCATCTCTGCCTTGACTTCAGGCACTCATGTCAATAATCAGAAAAGAAAGTTCTGAAACAGAGCCTCATGAGCCACTTGGGTTACAGATGTAAAGAAAGAGCAAAAGTGCACCTATTGTGAGGAAGCTTTGCTTTCCTTCTCCTTTTTTGGGGCGGAGGGAGAGAGTAGAGGAAAAGAAAGCTGCTGGGTAAGCCACTGCCAGAGATGACTTTTGCTGAAACCATAAAATGAACTCCTTTAATTCATTAAGACAGAAACTGCAGCAATATAAACCCTAAAAACATTATTTCTGAAGAGAGGGGAAAAAAAGCTATGAAATGAGAAAATTAATATGAAAGAGCTTTGCAGAACATTCTTTCTATACGCATTGAGTGTCTTTATTGGGAAGCTTGAAGCCCAGGTAGTTATGACACCGTGATTTAATTGTGACGGTGTGATATGAAACAGATGACAATGCTTAGAATTCAAGGCTTTGTTAAGGCTTTATAATGTGTCCATACTTCTAAAATAATCTTTTAGTTCCTACGAATCACTTTCTGGAATCCACCACCCCTCCTGACACACACACACACACACACACACACACACACACACACACACGTACATGCACACAAACACACCTTTGAAATCTTATGATAGAATCTCTTCTGGTCTATTCCTTTAAATTAGCTCACCAGTCATGATTTATTTAAAGAACACTGGACTAGGAATCAGGCCACCTGGGTCTTGAAGCTGCCCTGCTGTGATTAGCTTGAAGCTATTTAATTGCCCTGAACCTTAGTTTCCCCTCCTATGAAATTTGGCAAATAATTACAATCCCTTATACCTCAAAGGCTCACTCTTAGGATCAAACCTCCTATTTTATATCAAAGTATTTTTAAAACTCTTAAAGCATTACATATAATAAAAGATTATTATTATTACTATCATCATCACACAACACTATGATAACCCTTTTAAAACATTACTATCATCTTATAAAGATAAAAAGCTCCAGGCTGCCAAAAATAATTATAGTAATTCTTTTTTTTTCAAAATCCTATTAACAGGCTGCAGTACCTACCTGGTCCAGAATTTATGTACATTTGCCAGAAAAATAAGACCTTATATTATATTCATGGGCTTCTTCCCTTTCCAGAAGACAGTCCATGACACCTGGAGAGGCTGTTTTCTTAGTTGGTTGAACCCATTCCTTCCCAGAAGGAAGCAGGAAGGTGTCTCATTATCTGAGCAGTCTGGCTGAGATCACTTACTGCTTGGTCCCTTGCAAGGTGGTGTCTGTTGTCAGGGCATTTGTGGGGCAGAGTATGACTGTCACGGGATGGGTCTATGGTAGAGCAGAGAGGAAGAGTATTTCCCAGGCATTTGAATTCACTCCCCAAAAGAACTCTGAATTTATTCACATCCTTTACAGACTTACATAAATACTGAGTAAAGTTTTACTACCTTGGACTAATGCAGATTGAGATCTAGAACATCATGGATCAGTACAAGTTGAATATCCCCTTATCCAAAATGTTTGAGATGGGGTGGGAGATATGAAGGGAAGTCAATATATTAGTACAAACATATGGTGTGATGCAAGACATAAGGCTCAGTATTGAAGAGATCATTAGGGTGACTGGAGTTTATAATAATCTATTGCATATTTCAAAATAGCTAGAAGAGAAGAGTTAGAATGGCTCGATCATAAAGAAGTAACAAATGTTTAAGATGACAGATAACCCAAGTACACTGATTTGATCTTTACAAGTACATGAATGTATTAAATTATCACATGTACTCTGAAACTATATACATCTATTATATTACAATTATTACAAAAAATTATAAAAATGCTTGGGATCTGAAATGTTTGGTATTTTGGAATATTTGCAGTATTCTTAGTTGAGCATCCCTAATTAAAAAATCCAAAATTCAAACTGTTCTATTCAGCATTTCCTTTGGGCATCATGTTGGCGCTCAAGAAGTTTCAGATTTTTGCGCATTTTGGATTTTGGATTTTTACATTAGGGATATTCATCTTGTACCTGGTATCATCTGCATAAGGAAGTAGGACACCATAGCAATTAACAACCTTATAGGGTTGTTAGGAGATTAAAATATAAAATACATGTAAAACATCCAGTTCAGTATCTGGTGCTAAGTAGGTGCTTAGTAAAGTGTGGTTATCATTGTTGATTGTTGCTGTTTTAATTATTATCACAAGATGACGTAGTATCTGAAGCTTTCTAAAGATTTAATAGCATCTCCCCACTCCAGGAAAGATAGAAGCTCCAGATCACTGAAATGCAGAGGGATCCCCAGGTAGCAACCCCTGGACTCACGGCATGCACCAGGGACTGCTCTAAGTCCTGAGGACACAAAGTGAAGGATGGGGAAGCACATGGAAATGAATAAATGCTATAGCTTCAGAAAGAAGCTCTCTGTAGCCACTAAATGAAGGCTCCATGATAGTGTCTAAAAGTGGGGAGTGGCAGGCAACATTCAGTAGACTGATTAGGAGGGCTTGTTCGACGTGGCATTTGATGACATGATGACAAGATTCTGTTCAAGAAGTAGAATCAACACCACTATGATGAAGAATGTAAAGGCAGAGTGGGGATGGGAGGGCAGGGGTTATAGAAAAGCAGGTAGGAAAGGCAAACAGAGGGGACTGTGGTAAGTATTTTGATTTTTTTCTGAGTGCAATGGAAATCCTTTAAGCAGGGGTGACATGATGTGACTGCCATCATAAGTGATGCCTAGCTGCCCTGCTGGGCAGAGACGGGTTTGGGGTGGGGGTGGTGACCAGTGGCAGCAGGAAAATGTGGGAGGCTTTTATAGAGATCCAGGTGAGAGATGATGGTGGTTTGAATGAGGGTGAAGGGCAGTGGGTCAAGAAGGCAGTTGTCTAACACAAATCCTATCATGATTTCAGCTAGCAGCACACTGGCTTTTCTATGGTCTTCAAAGTGAAGATTTTAAAACTATAGGTCATCAGAATCATACCAACTTGCCCCCAGCAACCTCGTCGCCCTGCCCGTCTCCCAGGCTTGTCGTACATACTGTTCATGTAGCAAATCTCCTGCTAAGGCTTTGAGAAAGCAGTTCAGTGTCAATCACGCTCTCCCTCTGTCCTCTCCCTGTTTTTCTCTCTCTCTTACATACACTGTCTTACTCTCACTCTCTAAAATTGTACAATTTTGGCCACATTTTTTCTTCTATATGACTTTGCTATGGGAGTTTGAACATTTCTTTTTTTCCTACCTAGATCATAGAAAGAATGTTATTTTAACTTAGTACTGCAAAAAAAAAAAAAATGAAGTGATGCCATTGAGAATATAGAATAGAGTTGTGTGTTATACACAAAATTTTGAAACTGCTGATAAATTATGTGACTTGCAAGACCTAGGTGTACGTAATTAATCTCCTGGAGATTCTTTAATTGCCAAGATAACCTTATGCTCCTCTTAAACTCATATTAACCTTCTGGCTCTATTTCATCTCTCTCCTTCCCAGTAAAGTGAAATTGACTCTTCTTGAAAGGACCCATTTAAAGCTGACCTGGCAGGTACAGTGCTGAATAGATAGTCAGGAGGACATTAATGATTTGTTGGTAGTTTGTTACTCCCGTGGTAGAAAGCACTTTACTTGTATACTGCTGACGCTCCATCTATACATTGTGTAAGATATTTAGCTTGATGGTGTATGGGCTGCAAGGGTTTTTCAGTCTATAGAGCATTTGCCTAAAAATCTGTTACTATAAAAGGAGGTTGTCATTATCAGAATCCAAAGGACTTGCTAAAACAACAAGAGCAGCAAAGAGCTGTAGGCAAATTCGCAAGTACAGCTTATACTTCTTCGGTGAATTCTAAGTGTTAACTCTTGCCTAGTTTGGAAGTCTGTGATGTGAAAATATTGGCCTGATCTTCTCTTCCAACCATAAAATGCAGAAGTAAAGAGTTTCTAGTCCATTTGTTCAAAGTCGTATACCTTTCTTGATACCCAGTTATGATTATAGTGGAGATAGAAGACTAATTCCAGCATACAGATGCAGAGAATTGATAATGGACACATAAATAAAACAGTGAATTAACGTTTTAGTTTGTTGGTTGTGACTTTAGCCCTGATTACTTCATTATCAAAGAAGGCAGCTGTGAAATAGGAAATAAATGCACTAATTCTTTCTTATTATATAATCACTTCTTGTATGTATTGTAGGTTTTTTTTGTTTTCGGGGGGGAATTTTTTTGTTTCTTTGTTTGTTTGTTTTTTACCTGTGAGATGTTTAAGCTCCTGGTGGGCATGCAACTTGATTTATCAGGACAGTGAATCAAGATAGTGTGTGAAAGCTCAGATGTTAAATTCAGATGTGCCTGTGATTGTATTTTGGTACTACCCACAGAGCTTAGATGGGCTATTGAATTTCTCTGGACCCCATTTCTCTCATCTGCAAAGTGGAGATAATATTCCTACCACAGGGTTGGTATAAAGAGTATATTAAATGACAGGTGAAGTGTGCTCAAGACATCATCTGTTGGACAATACATGTTCATGGTCAATATATGTTAGACTATACATGTTCATCATCTGTTAGACAATACATGTTCATTCCTTGGTTACCATGGAATGTCTTTCTCATCTCTGTATTCAAGCATCTATTCGGCACCCAGGAAACAAGGGACACTCATAAATGTGTGAATGAATGCTTATATTAAGAGACATTATTTCACTTCTAAATGAGATCTTGAAGTGGGGAGAATTAGCATGCAGGAAAGAGCATGGATGTAGAAACAGAAAGAATGCTCAGCTTCTTTTCATCTGCATGAGCATTGCCAAGTTAAATTAACTTTGTTCCTCTTTTCCTTCATCTGGAAAATGGGGTTAATAAGCTTGCCTCACAGATAAAATGCGTGGAAGGCCTGCCACACATGGACTCTGCTCACCTATTCCTTTCCATCTCTTTCCTCCTCCCCTTGTCCTCCGTAAACACACTGCCAGTTCCCTTTCTTTTTCTGGACCGGCTCCAGCAGTTTGAAAAGCTTATAGCACTTCGATTATTCTTAAAAGATACATCTATTTAAATAATCTTATAGTCCTGGCTTAATTATGTGTAAATCTTTATCTTGCTTGCTGAAGAGTATTATTTTGCCTCCCTTTTGATCTTGAAATGCTTCTCTGTTCAGGGCTGGATGGTTCTAATAAAAGTCTCCCAAAGAGAACACAGAGAGTGTTCTATTTGCAAATCAAAAAAAATATTTATATTAAAAAGAAGATGACAAGGCCCAGTAACCAGTGTAAAGACAGTAGATGAGAAATTATGTCATATGTATGCATAGAACTTGGAACAGCCCAGAGAATGTGGTTAATCGTAATAGTGAAGCTGACATAAATAACAGATTACAAAGGAATAGGCTAAATCCATAGGAATGTATATTATTTAGTATCTCTCTTTTTTTTTCTTTAACAAACTCATCCATTGTCCTCTGTAACATACAACTCATATGAATATTTTTTCTTCCTGTCTGAATTTCACATCCCTTTTAATAGTTTTATTTTCTGAGGGAGAAAATGATTGCTCTTTATTAAGTTTTTATAACATTTACTCTTGCCTTAGGATGCAAATTGATTTCTTCAGTGAGCGTATACCCTTAACAGTTTCTTACTTTGGGAAAGCATCTGCTTTTAAGATGATGATAATTTCTGGTGGAGAAGAACTGCAGGCTCATTTCAACCCATTAAACAGTCCATAGTTTTGTAATTTAACTTTAAGAAAAATGGAAGTTTCTCTCCTTAGGCTTCTCTTTCTGCCACCCTCAGAAAACTCCACAGGAAGTATCTATGGGCCCTCAAAAAATGGTATGTCTGTGCATAAAAATGGCACGTAGCAGGCATTAGCGTCGGACGGAGAGTTGATCACACCTTCTGTGTTCCAGAGCCCCCAGGAGGCACCACACACAGCTGTGCCCAATTAATGCCCTGTGACACAGCTGCTGACCTCTTTCCACTCATTCCTTCCATTCTCTCATCATGACCACCCATTCTTGGGCCTTAGTTGTTCACATTCTTATTCTTATTGTATCAACCTCAATAAAGTTAATAGATATGCACTCTTTCTGTTTTTACTTCCTTTCATAAAAGCTTTATCAAATGCATGTTCAAGGACTGGCATTGGGCCAAGTACCAAGGTTTTCTTCTTGGAGTTGGTGTGTTTTTCCCACTGGACCCTTTTTCCTTTGACTTTCACAGTAAGGTCTTCTAGAGTACTAAACTGCAGATTAACTAGGGACTTCCGTTAGCTACTGTCTTGGCATCAAGGAACTGTTATTCGTTCATATATTCCTAACACATTATATAGATACAGAAACTGAGACCTAGAAAAGGGGAGAGAGATCCAAGGTCATACAGCGACTTCATGGCAGTGTCCAGGACAGGTCTTCCTCTCCTTATGGAACACATATGGCTGTCAGTATCCATCGCTTATTGAAATGTGGCAAATTGAATCATCTTTTCTCACTCTCATTTTCTAGTAATGGATTGATACAGGTGTCAAGTTAGCCTCGCCTCAAGAATCAGTCTCTGTGCCTCTGAAAGGAGCAAGTTTTCTCTCACACTCTGATTGTCCATCCACCACTCCCTCAGCTGATCCTCAGAGCCTGGCACTCTGCCCTGCCCCATCCACCTAGCTCTGTACAAGGCTCACTCTGCCATTGGGCTGTGCCCTGAGCACCAGGACAGAGCCCACCTGAGAGGACACTGGGTCCACATGGTGGTTACCAGATTGGACTCAGCAGAGGAGTGGCTGTAAAGCAGATATTATGGGCTGAATTGTGTGCCACTCCCCACCACCAAAATCTATGTGTTAAAATCCTAACTGCCAGTACCTCAGAATGTGACTGGATTTGGAAAGAAGAGTCTTTAAAAAGTCATTAAATTAATTAATTAATTAGGGAGATCCCTAATCCAATATGGCTGACTAATGTCCTTATAAGAAAAGGAAATTTGGGCATAGATATGTACAGAGGGAAGACCACATGAAGAGACAGGGAGAAGAAGACAGATGCCTGTACAAGCCAAAGAGAGAGGTTCCGTAAGAAACCAAGCCCTGTCAATACCTTCTCAGATTCCTAGCCTCCAGAACTGTGAAAAGAAATAAAGTTTTAGGCACTTCAGTCTGTGGTCCTTGGTTACGGCAGCCCTAGCAAACCAATAAGCAGGCAGACTTCATTGACTGGACTGGCCCTGCCCCTCCTCTCACCACTGCCTCATAAGGCTATGCAAATGCATCAGACTTTACTAGGAACTGCAGCAATTAAAATACAGTAGTAAAATCTCCATCTAAATTTGAGGCTTCCCATGCTTCACGCTCCATATGCCAAGAGAGAATTATCTCCCAATTTAAAACTCTCCACAGAAGGCCCTCTTGTGGCATACGTGGGTTCCTAACTCCTTCCCTGCCTTCAAGTTTCTAGCTTCCTGAGTGCCTCCTTCCTCCATTCTTCTCAGTAAGAGTCCAGCATAGCTTTCTCAGAAATCCCGGTGTTGTACCCACAAGAATGGTTCTTGCTCAGGAACAAACCCAACCTCAGCAGGAGATTTTTCTAAATTCATGTCATTCTTAAATAGTGCCCCCAAAAGGTATTAATAGGCCAGTTAGGGATGGCCATTGGCATTCTAAGTCTAGCTAAACAAGGAGTGATGGTAGTGGTGGTGGTAATGGTGGTGGTGATGGTGGTGGTGGTGGTGGTGGTGGTGGTGGTGATGGTGGTGGTAATGGTGGTGGTGGTGGTGGTGATGGTGGTGGTAATGGTGGTGGTGATGGTGGTGGTGATGTTGGTGGTAATGGTGGTGGTGGTGATGGTGGTGGTGGAGGAGATGGCAGTTGTGACTGGAGTGGCGGCAGTGGTGATGAAGCTGAGGGCCGTAGTGACAATTGTGATGGTGGAGATTGTGGTAATGGTGACGGTGGTAGTGATGGTGGTGGTGGTGGTGGTAGTGGTAGTGGTGGTGCTAATTGTGGTGTTGGTGAAGATGGCAGTGGTGATGATGAAAGTGAGGGTGGTGGCGAAGATGGTGATGGTGGAGGTAGTGGTGATGGTGGTGGTGGTTATATGCTTATGAGTTGGGAGCGAGGGTTACTATTCATATTTTTACACAACTGTCCAGGCTGGTATGGGCCTTTAAGAACAATCCTTTCTGAGATCTTTCCAATGGTATGAATTGCAGATTTACCACTCAAATTTCCCTATTGTCTAAAGAGTAAATATTGAATCAGATGCAGAAAAACAAACCTTTCAGAGCAAATATTAATTCTCAGAGCTAGTACATTCAAAACAGAGATTACAAGATGCCCACGGGTCTGGGTAGGTAAATAATTCAGAGGAGCAGCATGTGTGGCAGTGGTGGGGATGTGGAGGGGGAGGGACAGTGGGTTTCACCTGCCCATTCTTCTAAAGAGGCTCTGCCAGCAGCAGGTTTGGAAGCAGGTAAGCCCAGTCTCAGCAGGAAGTCTTAATTTCTCTCCCCAAAACACAAATTCACATTTGCATTCCACATCTCTATTACATGTTGATAACGCCATCATTTTTTTTAAACACTGTAAGTCAATGAACCCATTTTGCAACGTTTGATAGAAAGGAAGATTTATTACTTGCCTCATTCATTTGTAATCCTCTCAGAATAAATTAAGTAATTCACGTATTCTATAGAATGGAATCGTTTCTTTTCTTCCCTTCACCTCACATCTTTTAAATGTACCCATCTTTTAAAATGTGCCCATAAAAATAAATAAGAAATGAGCTTGTGGATGAGTCTTGAGGGCCTCTGTTGATACTGGAAATGGCCGTGTAGGAAGACTTGGTTAGGTTCTCAGCCGAACACTGTCCATGCAGGCGTTCCTGTCTGAGCCAAGGAAAGAAGGGGCTTTGGATCTTTGGATGTATATCGATGTGTGTAAGCATCTCATCTGGCAATAGCTTTTTACTTTTTAACTTTCCTGATTGACCTCCTAGTTAATAAACCTCAGGCAAATACTTATATATATATTGGGAGAGTTGTCTGGAATAAGTCTTTGATTCCATAAATAACCATGTCTAATTTACCTGTTTGTGAAAGGTTGTGTTTGTTTTGTTTCTCCTTAAATCTGAATACTAATTAGTAAAGCAGCACTAGATGAAGCCAGTTCACTTGGATCTGGGGAGGTCCTTCCACCCAGTGGCTCTGCCTGGCAATGGAAATGTGCGAGTTTGGACTGCTCTGCTCACCGATGGTGCACAGGCAGGTAATTGCTCTGGGCAGGTCACAGCTTGTTGAGCTGTGCATACAGGCTGTAGGGAGCAGAGACTCTGCTTTGTTTTCACTTGTGAATGGTTTCCAAATGTGGTGCTATGTTGTTGCCTCCTTTAAGTCTTCTGAGCCAAGCAGCTGTAACATCCCCAAGCTCTGGCTGAGTTCTGGGAGTTGGTGGGAATGAGCCTATTACCCTGGAGCGTTGGTATTGCAGAAATGGCTTCTGTATTCCCAGAGAATAGGTTAGGAGTTTTTGGCATGGCTCTGAACAATCATGAGAACTCCTGACTGTGAATCTCCCATTCTGGGAGGCCAGACTGGCTTCTTCCCCATAGTGAAATGATGATAAATTGACCCTCTGCCCTTTACTTCCATAGCTCCTTTTCCTTCTTTCTTTTATGTTGCTTTCCTAGTTTATTTTATGCCATACACTCTCTGAGCTACAGAATGATCTGTCCAGTCTAATTTTATTGAGGCCTTCAGAAACCATTGAAGCTCATGCGTAATATCAGATGTGTTTGACCCAGTTGAGGACTTCAAGTCTGTCTTTGGGAAAATTTAAAATTAATGACAGCAAGTTTAAAATACAGAATTGAACTCAATTGCTTCTATTAATAATCAGGAAAAGCTACTTTGGCATGCTTCCTGCCTGCAGCAGACAGCTTTGTTCAAATGAACTGTTGTTTCAAGACCTTTCAAGCGACTTGCTTTTGTGGCAAATTCGAGGCTACCAACCTCATCTATTTTGTGGCAAGACTGGTTTATTGAAATACCAAGAGAGTTGTCAGCATAAGGATGGAGAACATTGTCAAGAAAATAAGTCAGGAGAGCCCTGCATGTCAGAGCCAAGGAAAATAGGTTAGAACAATACCAGCCTTCAAAATTTGGAAAACCTGTAATAAATTTGGTTGTTTAATTCTTTGAGGTGTAGTACTGTATGGATATTATACAATTATTCAATCACACAGTGAAAAAAACAATCTCTTATAAAACACTCTCCTAATTGCGATTGTCCCTTTACATTTATATCAAACTATTATACCATAAATGTGGATAGAGATGGTTAGTGCCCAAGATTTGGAGAGACAGACAGACATAGCAACTCATTAGCTGCAGGACCGGGAGCCAGATTACTTCATCTAAACCTCAGTCTCCTTACCTATAAAATTAGGACAATAATAATACCTTTATAAGATTTGGTGAGGATAAGCATGCTGCACATGCATTGCACATGTTAAGTGTTCAATATGTTGGCGATTATGATTAGAAGCTTAAAAATGTTCCATGTGATTCCTGAAGCAGTCATCTTTGACAAAATTCAGAACACTTAAGGCCTTATATTATGCGTTGTATTTATAGTTTGGTTCATAGTTGTTGAATATACTTATGATACTTTAATAAGATATCATCTATGAATGAGCCTACAGAAGTTCCTGGTGCATGATATGCACTCAAAAATATTAATTTTTTCTGCCTTTTCCTGAAGAAGATCCCAAAATTTCAGAGATTTATCAGCTTCAACTGGCAACCATCTTCTTAAATGGGCTGTAACCATGTAAGTTGGAATAGCTTATTCTCCTAAGACAGGCTAATTAGTCAACGATGGGTCTGGCACAACTGTGATGAAGGTCATTGGATCTCTGCTGTTGAATCTACAGTCTCTCTCTCTGCCTGGCTTTCTAAACCAGCATCTGATAGGTAGACGGAGGCACCCAAGCTTCAGTAGCAGAGCAGTAGCATTTCCAAGCATCCAGAAGCTCTATAAATTAGTCTTAAGACCAGAATGGGACAAATAGCTAATTTCCCCATGTTAGCCATGTTCAGGCCTATCCATCCTTATCACTAACCCCTAAGCTTTTTCTCAGAATCATAATCCCTTTAAGGTCTTAAATTGTGTTTATATGTTAATTCAGTCAGTGTGTTTAACATGTAATCACTTAATGGGAATTGTTTTTGTGTTTCATTCGGATGTCAAAACCTCAATTGTGTAGAAATATGAAACTGGATATGAGCATTCAGGAGATGTTCTGTGGAGGTACTCCACAGCAATGTTAATATTCAACAGCAGATATCATCATTTAAAAATTATTGCCCTGAGTAGTTTCAAACTTCACCTCTCCTTCAGGCTATTGTGAGCTTTGCTTTGTTAGCAAGCTGCAAGATGAGCTCCACTGAGATTTCTTGTCCTGTGTCTTCCTGGCCCTACCTTCACTTTACCGAAGGTCACCCTTAGGAGGAAGGGCCAGATTACTCCACGTTGTACCCCAGCACCTAAAACAATTCCAGGGATGCAGTAGGCACTTCATGAATGTTGGCTGAGTTGAAGTTTAGGGCTCCAGGTAACCCACAACTCAGAAAATCCATGCTTTGCAGGATATAGTGATATGTACTGTCCAGAGATCCACAGAATGTACACTAAGTACACAGAGGAGGTGCCAAGGTGAGAGGTTTGCAGAGCCCTTGGGGTGCCAGCTAATATGCAGAACAGGGAAGGGCTTTGTCCCACGGCATCCCAGTCTGCACTGAGGTCGCCTGCCAACCCCAACTCCTATTTGGAGCCTAGAAGCAGTTCCTAAATCACATTTACCTACCTGAAATCTATCATGCTCGGGAGATCATAAATACATAATTCAGAAGAAAGATCTTAGATTTTTCATGAGGTGCCCATTATAATTCCTGGCTTGCCACTCTAGACTCTTAAAGATGCTAATAATTCTTAAAATTAGATGTGGGGCTAAGCTCCAGGCTAATGTATATCTTGCTATTATGTAATTGAAATAAAATCTACTTTTAGGTGACTACTTTCAAATAAAATAGAAAAAGGTCAATATTTTTTAAAAATGTATAAAAGTATTCATTAGTAGCTTCACAAAGCCTCTTAAGAAACTTTACAAAGACAAAGCACTTTAAGCAACCAGTACCACAAAGTAGACTGACCAATCCAGTCTTCCGACTTACCCCATATTGAGAGTGGCCTAATTTGTTCTTGTTTCATTTTAAAATAGAGGGCTGTGAAAACAAAGTTTGATCCCATACAATACCAAATGGCTGAAATTTTCTCTTCATGGTGTTTGGCATTTTCCTTGTCACTGCAAATAATTTTGGCAAAGTCTCAACTTTGCATGTCCCATTTTTACCATCCAAAGGTGTAAGAACCTCTACTCGTTAGGTGAAAAAGTCTGAAAGGCTGCAGTCAAATTTAAAGCAATATTATAGCATTGTTGGCTGGAAGATTTAACAGCAGTGGACAGACTTTTGAGGTATGCAGGAATTAGAGATGTGCTTGTTTGATGTGAGCCAGAACAGGATGGGTTTTTTTATTCAGCATTTTTTACAACAGAAGGTGTTGTTCTGTCTCTATCAGCAGTAGCCAGGGCATGCTTGCTTCACCCCTGAATGAAGAATTATAAATATCTCTGTGCAAGGCCATGACATACCCATGATGTGTGCTTTGATACATGCACAAAACCATTTATCCATCTTCAAAAATGAAATGTCCAGAAGCAAGTCATTTAAAAGTTCCTGTCATGCCACAAGGACATCATCATGTAAGGAAAAGTGAACTCAGTTTCTCATGGTGTAAAGCATGTACATGCGTAGGTGAAAGGAAAAAAATCTATTCCAAAACTCCTCTTTTAGAAATTACATAGTGCCTATGGTAGGATTTTTAAAAAATAGAATTATTTTCAATTATAAAAAAATTAGAAACTTGTAGCTATGATAATATATAATACATCATTGTAAGAAAATTTAAAAACAGAAACAGAGAGAAAAAGCATAAAGATAAGCCAATAAAACAATTTAGTAACATCCATATTTTTCCATGCCTTGATGATTACATTTTACATTTTGCTAAATAATCTTTCAGAACTTTTTTTTACATTTATGTATATATGTATACACATATATTTCATAAAATCCTGCCTAAAATTTGTCCAAAAAAAATCAAATAAATTCTATACATACTGCTTCATATCCTTGCTTATTTATTATGAACATTTTTCCATACCATATTATATTTTCTATACTATATTATATTCAATATGTTACTTTTTTCCATTGCATGAGATCTCATTAAATAGCAATCTGTGGTAGAGATTGCAATGACCTTAAGTAGGAACCATCTATTATTTTTTCTAGAAGATCGCATGAATATAGCCCAGCCCCCCAGGAGCCCCTAGTAATACTTCTGTTGTGTTGATTTGGTGCCCAGTTTCAAGCCATTTACTAACCTTCCTTGCTGCCTGTGGATCAGCTAAAAGAAAGACGCCAGACATCATTTAATGAAATTCGTCAGATTATTTCAGATACTTGATCAGACTGCATACAAATATGAACAAAAATCTACCCCTTGGCTGGAGCTGTAATACCCTACATTACAGCATTTTACCTACTGAAGAAAAAGTTATACAGTATAAGAAATGTTTACCTCTGAAACATTTGGAAAAAGAGTACTGACTATTAATTCATGTCCTTTGGAAAAGTATATCACGAACCTAAACATGTAACCTAAATATGTAACTTCAGACATCTAAACAGGTTTCACACAAATATCAACTACTCTCCTTTCTTCCAGCGTAGTTTGATATTCTACCTTGCAACATTTTGTCATTGAAGACAAAGTAATATATTGTAAGCAACTTTTCACAAAAATACAAACAAATCCCACAGAATCATACAATCTCAGAGATAAATAGTACCTTAGAAATCATCTCCTTAATGATGGATTATTTAAATCCCAAACTAAAGATCTGGATAAACATTTGCCAAATGTGGGCATGCAAGCGACATTCACATTTGGCATAGCTGTCTGCATTCTCTACTGGTGACAAATTGTAGTGTAAAAAGAGGGAAAGTATCCAAACCAAACTGTAGCTGAGGCTTGACATGTCTTTGAGAGGGCACATATGCCTTCCCATGTTTAAAAGCAAAATCCCTTCAGATGATGCAAGTAGAACCAAGAGAAAGAAGAGCAGCCCCTCCCACTACACTTCCCGCATCACTTCCAACTTGGAGCTGTTAAGAAAAAGGCGCTCTGGAAAGACTCTCATGTGCCTGCCAAGAATAAGTCATCTCTGCACTCAGAGAAACCCCACTTTTAGACAACCTTGAAATGTGGTTTCCACTGAGGGAGGGCATGAAAAATAATATGCTTCTATAAAATACCCCATTTTGAGAGTAAAAATATAAAGAAATATATAATTCATGAATATGAATCTGTTGTAAGACCATAGATTACAAGGTCCTTAATGACTATTTTCGTTTTCTTCCTGATACTGAGTTTGTACTTATTAGACTCTTAAGTAAGTATTAGCTGAATTAAAATAGAAAAAAACATTCTTACATTCTCTTTTCATTGTGTTTTGACAGCGGAAAGAGAAAACTAATCTCAACTCAACTTTACAATTAGTTCTTACCTGGGAGGAGCTTTAGCTATCTAGGCATGTGCCCAGGTATTTCCAAAGGCATAAATATGTAACTATAAACGCCTAACAAATGACAAGGGAAGTTCAGAAACTGTAGAAGAAAACACCACCTATAAGGTTGCCAGTTGATAACACAAATATATCTGAACCACCTACAGTTTAACTTAATTATGTTTTCCACAGTAGGGTTACTTGCCCCCAGACAGACAGAATGCATGAGCCTGACGTTGCTTAATAAATGGTGTTACCTGGAGATGTGTACATTTCCCAAGGCCAGCCTCAGCTTACAAGCTTGAAATCAGCACTTTGACCAATTCATAAAATGCACCCTGCTTACCACCTCACATAGGTGTTCAGGCTTAAGGTCTGACATAAGAGATTAAGAAGGCAAGTTGGTGGAAAATACAGCTTCTAGAAGCCATAACTAGGCCCAGAGCTGGACTCACGGATCTCAGGAATCACAGGTGAATCTTTGAGAAGGGAGCTGCCCTTGACTGCCAAAACTAAGATTTGGAGTAAGAGTTCAAAACTGCAAAGAATGATAAGCAAAGGGAAAAGCATTGTTCTTACTGCTTTTCTGTTCTCTCCTTGATTGTCATGCATTTCAGTGGCATCCAGATGTTCTATTATTTTAGCTACCAACTTGGGAAATTACATTGTAGTTACTTTCAAAGTTGTCAGAACACTAAACTCAACAATGACATTTTATAACCCATTTTCTTTAAAGTACTCATTTTTTTTTCCTTAACCCTGATGGGCTGGCATTTAAATAAAGTAAGTCAGGATTCTGAAACACAATTAGTTTCTAGATATGCAAAGTTATTCTTTATGCTCATCCTCATGCATATTAGTTCTTACACATACATCTTGGGTACCCTGTACTTTAATTTTTTCTCTATTTGTATCTAGATTTGTTTAAAAATAGGAAATTCACTTCATGCTTTAACTTTCAATAGTTGGCATTCTTTAATTTAAAACTTAACTATTTAAATTCTTTTGGCATTCCAATTTGCATTTTTCAGAAAATCGAAGGCTAGTTAAGACCAATATTATTAATTTTGAAAATGCATATTTTCCCAGTTGAATTAAAAACATAATAGTATGTATATCATATTTTACAACTGATTTCTGTAAGATTTCCCAGAAAACTAGGTTCATAATTTTCTGTTGCAAGGGGATAAAGTTCTTCAGTTTAATGCCTGCAGCATTCTTATGGTAATTTCGAAATTGGGAGACTTGGTCACATTCATAAATGGTAACTGTAGAAAATCAACAACGTTCAAATCAAAAGCATAGAGAACCCTGAAGATACTTTTGAAAAGAGGAGACTTTCTAACAAGTCTAGTTACAGTGTCTATTCCTAGGGCAGATGAATGAGAGAGTTCTTATAAGACTTTTGCTGTAGTGTTTTTTTTTTTTTTTTCCAGACTGCTTGCATTATCTGTCTGCACAGTACTTAGCACCCTGTTGAACTCAATAAATATGCAGTGGTGATAATATTATTGCTCAGAATTCACTTAGCACTTTCACATCTTTTGAGTGTCACAATGTTCTGCCTACTAGGTGCAGGGAGTTTTAATTTAATGCTCATTCTGAGGCTTAAAGCTTGGAAGTGTAATGACCCATGTAAGATAATCCTCCACTCCAGTAGGACATTTTTGGAGCAAAGCCATTGGGTTGTGCAAGAATTCATTAAAAAGCAGAAAACCTTTACTTCCCACACTAGAACACTGATGAGGCTCAGTGCACTGTTGTTTCTAATCTCTACCCTACAAGCCATCCACATCATATTTCCCCAAAGCACAAAAAAGGAAAAGAATAAAATTTGAAATCTATGATGATTAAACAGTTCTGACCAACCTCAATCAAGCTTTGATCCATGGCAGAGATTTGGAAATAAATCAAAAGGTCCTGGGACAAGTTCTTTCTCAAGACAACCCAGTTTGTCCCTTAACCTAATTCAACTATTACTAGATTGTGGAATATCCAGCAGTTTCCCCATATTTTCTCCTATGAAATTGTATTTTCCTCTTGGCTTTTTAGAAATCATCTACAGGTCATTTTAACACCAATAAAATCCTTGATATCCTTAGCATTAACACAGTTTCTAGCATCTAATAAGCACTCTTGAACTATTTAGTTAAATGAATGAATGAATGATTCGTGAATGGAAATACCAAATGGTTTTCAAAACCCTGGTCTTGGTTATTTTATTGCTTCTTTAAAAAGAAAAGACTGTTGGGGTTACCTGACAAAATATTTAATATTTTAAAAAATTTCAGTAGTTTAGAAGGTACAGGTGGTTTTTGGTTACATGGATTTGGGACTTCTAGGACAACCAGCCTACTTAAAAAAAAAAAAAAAAAAAAAAAGAACTAAGTTATAACTGTAATAAAATGTTCCAGAAATATTTAATGTTAATGTAAATCATCACTCAAGAGAATACACAAATATTTGGTGTGAGATTAGATTGACAGCCCACAATTGATAATTAACCATAAACACACCCATGTATGTACATACTCACATGTTCACACACACACATGCACACACGTACTTCCAGCATATAAAACATGATAATTACACTCAAAGTTACCCTAAAACAGTTCAGGCTACCAGAATAACACAGGTGAAGCACTGATCAACTGTAGAATAGCACATAATAAAATTTTATACCCAACTTTGAGAAACAACTTGTATGTGCTACAAGGTTGACGTCTGGATTTATCAGGGAGGATTTTACAGAAGGAGAGAGACTTGACCTGGGCCTTGGACAAGAGGATCAATGTAAAAGGAGAGAATACTGATGATTCAAGCAGAGACATAAAGAGGGGTGCATATGACATGGAAGACTGTGACAAAAGCAGCCTACCTGCCAGTGGAAGTAGAATTGGAGAGCAGTAGAGGAGGGATATTGAGGTAGTTTTGACTAGATACTTGAGGAAATACAGAACCATAAGGTTTTTGAGCAGAATGGTGGCATGATGAAAGTCATATACAAAGACAATTTATCTGGGAAAAGAGGACTTTGGAGTTTAAAAGAGTCTGGGATCAGAACAGCCAGTTAAGAGGAGGCAGATCCAAGTGTGAGGGGATTGCTATCCAACTGCATGCAGGGGTAGCAGTAAGATAAAAGATACTTGGACAAATGGGCAAAACTCAGTGATTGAGTAGAAATGAGTGAAGGGAGGAAGAAGGATGGTTCTTTCTCATGGATATGAGAAGCTGCTGTTCAGTGGCAGACCTGTAGAGACATTATAAGTTAGGTT